CCAGCTCCGGGCCCTGGCTCACACGCCCCGCCCACCCAGGTCCCATGAGAACGGCTTTATGGAAGACCTGGACAAAACGTGGGTGCGGTACCAGGAGTGTGACTCTCGCAGCAACGCCCCTGCTACCCTCACCTTCGAGAACATGGCAGGTGGGTCCGCCATTCCCCTCAAAGCCTCTCCCGACACTGTGTGGGTTCTCCAGGGGGCCCGCAGCCTGGCCAGACAACCGCTGAGGGGCTGGGTCCTGGCCCACAGGGGTCTTCATGCTGGTGGCTGGAGGCATCGTGGCAGGAATATTCCTGATCTTCATTGAGATCGCCTACAAGAGGCACAAGGACGCTCGCCGGAAGCAGATGCAGCTGGCCTTCGCAGCGGTGAATGTGTGGCGGAAGAACCTACAGGTAGGGCAGGCCACCCTCCGAGGCCTGGTGCCCATGGCCCGGCCTGGCCCCGGCCCCCCTCCATCCCCGCAGGCCGAAGCGCTGGCTCTGACTCCCAGGAGCTCATGTGGGCAGGACTGGAGCTAGGAGCCATGGCCAGGGGCAGCGCTGGTGCGGGGCCGCCTGCAGGTGGCTGCCCACTGCAAAGCCAGCTGAGGGAGGCCACACGCCTTGCTCCAAGCCTCCACCTGGCCCCTCTGTCTCCAGAGTCGCCCGCCGGCGCCCATTCCATAGGAAGGCAAACTGAGGCAGGGTAAGACAGGGACCCACCTGGGTGTAGCACGTGAGTCCGAGACGCATTCTGCCCTCGCCGCCCCACCTCCTCCTCGGCACCCTCCCGGGACCCCCTTCCCTGCTGCCCTGCTGTGTTCTGTGCTGCAAAACTCCAGTCTGAATCCGCCGGCCAGCCCCGCCTGGCACCCCAGGCCGTGTCTGTGCGAATTTGCCACCAGCAGGGGACTGGCTGCGTGTAGGGTAGCCACAGCCCACCTGTGCAGCCCGCAGGCTTGTGCCCCACGGTCCAGTTCCGGTTTGCTCCATCTCTTCTCTTTCTCTGGGTGCCTCCCCAGAGCCTGTGTCCTGGGATGAAGCTGGCATGGCAGAGAGGGAGGGCCATGGGGGGACGGGGTTGCTGGAGCCCCCACACCTCTCATCTGTCCCCTCTTGCTCTTGGGACCTGGTCTCTGCTCTCACTGGTAGGCACAGGGCCATCCTGGCCATCAGACCCGAGGCCATGGTCCCGGGAGCTGCGTCAATCTATCTATGGCTCCAGTTCATCTCGCCACCTGCCTTCAGCCCCTCGGCCCCTTCCTGAATCTTGGTGTGCCCCCTTGGGGGTCAGAATGGCTGGTGGGGCCGACAGGGAGACTCCTCCAGTGCTCGGAGGGCCCCTCCTCCTTGGGACGCCTGTAAACCAGGGCCACCCAGGAGCCAGCGAGCCAGGTGGATCTCTCAGGAAGAGAGCCAGACGGGACCCCCCCAAGCTCAGCCCCAGCACAAGCAAGGTCAGGCCGGAGACCCGGGTAGGAGCAGAGGCTGCCTGCGCATGTCCGGCTGTTGGTCTGTCTGTCTAGCACAGGAACGCAGGCAGGAGCGAGGGCCCGAGTGGCCAGCCAGGCCGGGCAGCAGCCCCCGAGAAGCAGGCGAGGGCAGGTGTGGCCGCCACCCTTAGCCATCTAATCACTTATACATATTCATTTTAGGATAGAAAGAGTGGTAGAGCAGAGCCTGACCCTAAAAAGAAAGCCACATTTAGGGCTATCACCTCCACCCTGGCTTCCAGCTTCAAGAGACGTAGGTCCTCCAAAGACACGGTAAGGGGAAGAACGCCCAGTCCCACGTCTCCGACTCTTCTCTCGCCCGCCCTCCGTGTCTGTGTCCCGTGCGTCAGGCGTGCCCTCTCCCCTCCCCCGTCATCCCACCCCACCTCTGACTGCTGTGGCCTCTCATCTCTATTTGCCCAGCACACTAGGTCTTCTCTCTCCGACTTTCTAGACCCCTCTCTCTCGGTCCTTTCTCCCGCTGGCCCTCGCTGGGTCCTCGTTCCCCATGTGTCTCTGCGTTAGTCTGCCCCCCACATGCCATGACGCCATGCGCCATCTTGAAGCTGTGTCATGTTGTTGGTCAGCCAGTCAGCCTCACCACCTCGGGGCTGTGCCCGGGGCCCCTGGGAGCCCAGAGCCGCCCTGCCCCGGCTCCTCACCTCGGGAGGCCACGCCACCTCTCTGTTACGTCCGTTTCTCCAGCTTCTCTCAGAGGGGCCCACCGCCCTCTCTCCCTCCCTGCGACGTCCATGGAGGGGTGGCTGTGATTTCCATCCGCCCATCTGTCTGGCCGCCAGCCCCGCCACGCAGACACCTGTCTCACGTGTCTCACCAGAGCCATGCCTGTTGCATCCCCTCCATGTGGTCTCTGTGTGGGCCGGGGCTGGGGGCCGGGCCTGGCTCCATCTGGGTGGACGGCTGGGGCCTGGATTTGGAACAGGCCCCCAGCCACAGGGAACCATCAGGTGGGGGAATGGGTGGGACCAGAGGGGGTGGCCCCCACCCCAGGCTGAGCGTGGCCTACAGAGCCGGGGCACTGAGGTTCCCGGACAGAGGCCCAGGAAGGGGAGGCCTCCACGGAGGAGACCAATGCCTCAGCTCCTGACCCCCAGCCCCACCCCTCAGGGCCAGTCAGAGCCAGGCCTTCTGCCTGAGCCCAGAATTCCCTGCCCTCCTGCCTTGGGCAGCTTGTCACTGCACCAGATGTATACACTTGGACCAAAACCCCCCAAAATGGACCCAGCTTTGCTAGGGACACCCTGGTCCCAAGTGGGGTGGAGGCTGCCCAGAGCCACCACAGCCCTCGGCCCAGCAGCCTCCCTGCAGTTCAGGGGTGGGTTTGGCCTCCAGCCCAGAGGAAGTGGCATCACCCCACAGGGGCTTACGCTCCAAGGTGGAAGTGGGATTTGCAGCCCTTCTCCCTCCTCCCCAGTGCATGGGAAGAGGAGCAGATCTCAGGACACAGACAGGGCTTGGCACAGAGCAATCTGAGTCCAGGGTGATGCCCCAAGAGAGGCCCATGAGGCCTGGCTACTCTGCTTCCCAGGAGGGGCTCGACATAGGGAGGGTGGGTGGAGAGTGAGGGTCCATGGGCCTGGAAAAGTGGGCAGAGTTTGAGCCAGGAGCCCCACCAGGGGTGCAGGAAGAGGAGAGTGAGAAAGCAGGACCAGAGGGGAGGAGGATCAGGGCAGGCCCAGGGAGAGGTGTCCCCGCAGAGAGCTGAAAGGAGGAGCACAAGTCATGCAGGTGATGGGCCACTTTCTGAGGGCGTCACTGAATCCCGCCCCCACCCCCCGCTCCCCCTGCCCCGGAGCAGATACACACGCCCCTTAGCTGGTCCAGGTGCAGCTCACAGACCCTCACAGTGCCTCTCCGGAGACATGCGCCCAGCAGACTCCTTGCCCAAGCCACCCTGGGCACCAGGGACCATCCCCAGGCCAGCCCTGGTGCCACGTGGCATCTGGGGCTGACCTTGCCCTACAGGGATGACTGGGGGGACTGCCAGCTGGGGGGGCTGGGCGGGGGAGGGCGGCCCAGCTCCCACCCTGTTTCGGGCTGGGCACCTGCTCGGAGGGAGGCCTGGGTGGGGGGCTCTGTCGGGAGGGGTGGGGTCGGTCCGGCCGCTGAGATCCTCTGCCCCTGTCCTGTGGCTGGTCCGGGCCAGGGCGGCACTGGGAGCTCAGGGCTGGGGTCCCTGGAGGCCGCGGGGCCAGCGGGTATTGATTGTTGGTTCTTATTTATAGAGCACCGGGGGTGGACGCGGCGCTTTGCAAAACCAAAAAGACACAGTGCTGCCGCGACGCGCTATTGAGAGGGAGGAGGGCCAGCTGCAGATGTGTGCCCGTCATAGGGAGAGCTGAGACGCCCTGCCTGCCCTCCTCTGCCCCCCTCCCCCGCAGACAGACAGACAGACGGACGGGACAGCGGCCCGGTCCACGCAGAGTCCCGGAGCACGACGGGGTCAGGGGGAGGAGCGCCCCCCAGCCTCCCCCAGGCCGCGCCCGCCTGCCTGCCGGTCGACCGGCTGGCTGGTCCACCCGTCCCGGCCCCACGCGCGCCCCCAAGCGTTGGGCTAACGGGCTGCCTTGTCTGTGTATTTCTATTTTGCAGCAGTACCATCCCACTGATATCACGGGCCCGCTCAACCTCTCAGATCCCTCGGTCAGCACCGTGGTGTGAGGCCCCCGGAGGCGCCCACCTGCCCAGTTAGCCCGGCCAAGGACACTGATGGGTCCTGCTGCTCGGGAAGGCCTGAGGGAAGCCCACCCGCCCGAGACTGCCCACCCTGGGCCTCCCGTCCGTCCGCCCGCCCACCCTGCTGCCTGGCAGGCAGCCCCTGCCGGACCCAGGCACGGACCAGAGTGGCTGAGGACGGGCCAGAGCTGAGCTGGCTGGGCAGGGCCACAGGGCACTCCGGCAGAGGCAGGGCCCTGGGGTCTCTGAGCAGTGAGGAGAGGGGCTAACCTGGCCCTGGACGGAGGGGCTTGGAGCAGAGACTGAAGCCCCATCCTTCCCCAGCCACCACCAGAGCCGCCATGGGGGCCCGCAGCCCCAGCTGGCTGGGTCACCCCTCCTCCAGCACCCACTCCTGGCAGCCTCGGCTCCACCCCCTCCTCTTCTTACCCTGGCTCCTCTTCCGCTTTACCCCATCCCCCCAGTTGGCCCTGCCCTTCCCCAGTAGCAGACCCTGACCCCCAGCTGGCAGGCACTTCCTAGGGGCTGCTCCGGCTCCTGCTGCCTCGGTCAGACCTCCTCCTCCAGACTCCAGAGGGCCGAGCTTTGTCTTTGCCTCCTCCGGCCTGCAGCCCAGGATGGGCCTCCCCAGACGCTGGCTCGGGACTGTCCTCAGCCCTGCCTGCCACCTTGTACAGGTCCAGCCCTTCCCGTGTTCGAGTGTGTGCCTTCCCCTGCGGCCGGTATGCAGTTGCGCGCTGCCCCTCCCCCCAGGGGCCCGGCGCGCACCGCCCCCCCCCACCCGGTGTGTGCAGTGGTGATGCCTAAAGGAATGTCATGAAAATTTCAGTTTGTGTCGCTTGTTGACGCCTGCAGGGAGTGTGAAGGGGGGCAGGGCATACAGGGAAGATTCGAGGGCAGCCGCAGCCCGCTCAGGCTTGGGCGGCGGCGGCGGGGCTCCCAGTGTCTGCGAGCGAGGCCGAGCAGGGCCCGGGATCCGGCGGTCTCCTCGGTGGGCGGCGGGCGGCGGCGAGGCGGCGGCGGCGCGTGCGGCAGGCGGTGATCACGGTGCCCAGCGCCAGGCAGGCGGCCAGGCTGGCAAGGAAGGACACGGGCCCGAGTGCGTAGACCACGGCCAGGTCCCGCGGGGCGAGTGACTGCGCGCAGTGGTTGAAGGCGGCGTCGGGGAAGGCGGTCAAGGGACTGAGCACCAGGTTCCCCGGCGACACGCAGAGCAGCGTCTCGGCCTCTGCGGGACACCGGCGCGGCGTCAGGAGGCGGCGGCGGCGTTAGTGGTAGCCCCCGACCGCCCCCGCCCCCATCCCCCAGGGCTCACCTGGCGCGGGCCGTGGGTGCCTGCGCAGCCAGATGCAGAGCGGGCGCAGAGCGCAGCCGCAGGCCCAGGGGTTGCCACGGAGGCGCAGCGCATTGAGAGCGGGCAGGCAGGCCAGTAGGCCGGGAGGGAGCGCAGACAGCTGGTTATCTTGCAGGCTGAGCTCGTGCAGCAGCGGGAGTGCGCCCAGGGCCGCAGGTTCCAGGCGCGCTAGCCGATTGCCGGCCAGCGAGAGGGCGCGCAGAGCGCGCAGCCGCGCGAAGGTACCGGGGGCTAGCGCTTCCAGCTGGTTGGCGCTGAGGTCGAGGTGCTGCAGCGCGCCCAGGCCCCAGAAGGCCCGCGCGTGCATCCAGCGCAGCCCATTCTCGCGCAGGTCCAGGCGTAGCAGTGCCCCAGCGCCCACGAAGGCACCGGGCGGCAACGCGCGCACGCGGTTGTGGTCCAGCAGCAGCGCGAGCACGCTCCAGTTCAGGCCCCCTGGTACGGCGGGCAGCTCGCGCCGGGAGCAGTTGGCCTGACCGCCTGGCGCGCACGCGCACGCCTCGGGGCAGGCCAAGTCTCCCCGGGCTCCCGAGGGGGCGGCCGCAGCCGACGCCTGGGCCGAGACTGGCCACGGAGACAGTAGCAGCAGCAACAGTGGTGGCGGCGGCCACGAGAGAAAAGAGGGGCTCCGCATGGGGGCAGGAGTGGGACCTGCGGGGGGAGGCCTGCTGTCCGTGCGTCCCCGGAGCCCGTCCGTCCCTGCGGCGCCCGCACAGATATTAACTCTCCGCCTCGGGCTCGCGCCGGCAGTTCCTGTCCCATGGCTCGTCCCGCGCCTAGGGCGGGGGCTGGGCACAAAGCCAGCGCCCGGCACTGCCAGCCACCTGTCCCGGAGCTCCCGGGCTCCTCATGGCTCCGCGCCAGCAGCGACGCTGACGAGACGCCACCCCCCCGCCCCCCCCCCCGCTCCTCGGCGTCGTCCGCCACACCCGGCCCTGCTGAGGCCTGAGCAGCTGCACCCACCCAACTCGTAGATGCGACACAAGGAATGCACCTTTGCTCCTCACCGCGGTCTCAGGCCGTCTCTGGCTCAGCAGAGTGACCTCAGTGCATACACACAGTGGCCCCCCACATAGGCCCTGTCCCATCCTGATGGTGGGTGATTGGTGGGGCACAGCACATGCTAGGGACTGGGCCCAGGGGCAGGCTGTGGGGGAAGGCTGGGAGGCAGCGTGAAGTCTGCCTTCTAAGGACTCACCTGGAACCTCAAGGACACTTTATGGGTGGGGCAGGGCACCAGCCCAAGTCCTCCTGTCAAATGCTGCTCCCTCTGGAGTCACCAGAGTTGTACATCCTGTCCTGGGGTTTCCAGGGGTGGGGATGGGGGCAGGGTGGGCAGGGGCCCAGGAGCCCTGCCAGCTTCATGGGACAAAGCAGAAGATGCAGGGAGGAGCTAGGCTGAAACCAGGGCAGGAGGAAGTGGAGACCCCAGGGGTATGGTTCCCTGCCCTGAAAGGTGGACAGCAGGTGCCTGGTGTGGGCACGGGGCACCCCTATTAAAAATAAAAGAAATGACCCAGGTGCGCTCAGACCCCTTCCCACTCCGTGACACAGCTGCATGGCGCAGGGCTCTAGGAGCTGCCGGCAGGGAGGACAGCACAGAACCACTAAATACTTTTTAATTCCCCTTCCCCCTCGCTGTGCAGCCCTACTCATGTAGTGGTGGTGGGCAGGGTGGCTCCTCCAGAGTCACGGACGGGGCTCTCGAGTCCATGGGGATGGCCATGAGACCGTGATCCTCCAGGGCCGGCATCATGGAGACCTCCAGGTCAGGGTCCACGAGGTGGGACTCCACATGCACCGTGTGCAAGTCCATGTGATCTTCCTGGACCCCAAAGTGCCCCACCAACCTGCACACCACAGGCCAGGTCAGGTCAGTGGCAGGGGGCCATCAGCATGGGCTCACATGGCCTTGACCACCCAGGACACACCCAGCCCTGGGGTCAGGGCCCCTGATGTGTCTGTGAACTGCACCTCGCGGGGCAGGGAACAAGGGCACAGCTCATCCTTGGGGTCTTCCCCTGGGGTCACTCACCTGCTGTCCATGTGTCCAGGGCATGTTTCACTGGGAGGATAAAGGTAGGTATGAATCCAGGAACAATGGGGCTGGGCTCCAGGAGCCCAGAAGTGCCCTCTGCACCCCACCAACCCAGTCTGGAACTGCCATTCTCAAGCCCGTGGTGACATCCACCCAGGAGCAGAGGCCCTTCTCCCAGCAAGACTGAGGACCCAAGGTGGGCAGCATGGCCCTAGGCCCTCACCCACCCACCCTGGCCCTGGGGCTCACGCACCCCTTGGCTCGCAGGACGCCAACTGCCACGATGACGAGAGCACAGAAGCAGCTGGCGCTGACACCCGCCAGGACCACGAGCAGGGCGATCAGGGCCTCGCGACTGAGGCCAAGGCTGCACTCGCAGTAGGTTCCAGCTGCAGAGACAGGGCCATCGTCAACCGTGGTGGAGGACCCTGGGGCACCCCCCACCATGTGGCCACCAGGACATGCACGCCTGGCCTGCCTGGATCAGGGAGGGCCCTGGCTGGGGCAGGGCTTGGGGACAGGAGGAGGCACCTGCAGCTGGGATGAGCAAAAGGGACACACATATCACGCAGAGGGGGCTGCCGACCAGGCAGGAGTCAGGCTGGGGACAGGGGGCCATGTCCAGCCCCCGGCCCCACCACAAATCTCTGGACGGAACTCATCAGAAGGTGCTGACCTCACAGTTGGGCTGTGAGGTAGGGAGGGTGGGGGCAGGGCCCCAGCTGGAGCTTCACTCACCCCTGGGGACCAGGATTGGAGGAGCTCTGGGCAGGCAGCCTAGGGGTTTAGGTAGGGTAGACAGGAGCCACTCCTAGTGCCCTGGCCGGATCTGAGACAGAGACAATGGTGGGGCTGCCCTGGCCTCAGGTGGATGCTGCTTCATAGGGAAGGGGTGGGGCCTGCACTTGGGCCCCTGGGGCGGTGGAGACAGTGGCCTGGCTGGGAAACCTGAAGGCCCACAGCGGGCAGCACTGGGCCTCAGTTTCTCCGTCAAGGTAAGAGCTGCAGCAGCTCAGGGGGCCTGGGCTCCAGCTGACCCAAGTCACCACCCTCCACCTGAGACTGGGACAAGCAGGGACCGAGGGGGCCAGGCCTGGGCCTGTGCCCACTGCCCTCACACTGGCTGTTTTGAGGAGGGTCCTGGCCACACCCCAGCAATGTCCAGGTCTGGAGGGCCCCTTAGGGATCCCTAATCACCCGGGAAGCGGGGCACTGCCCACAGGCCACAAATCTCCCCAGAACATCCTCCTCTAGGAGCAGGTGGCTCAGAAATGACTGCAGGCAGCGTCTGAGGCCCGGCTTAAATGTGGCAGTAAAGTTAGAGCCCACTGCCACCTCTGGCCCGCCCGCCCTCCCCTCCAAGGCTCTGTTCCCTTGCAGCTTCCTGCAGACCAGGCAAGCGCCGCTCAAGGGACTTGCCTGCAGGCTGGCGTGGTCAGGGTTAACTTCAGCCTCCTCCCGGCCCCTGCCCACTCCTGAGGACCTGCCAAGCAAACCACAAGCAGGAGGAAACGCGCGTCCCACGTCCCACGATGATCCCACTGGGCACCAGGGGGAAGGGCACAGCTTGGCCCCAGCTGGCCCCTGGCCACCAGGGACCTCCCTGACTCCTGGCACAGGTGCCCCCCTCCTGGTGGGGCCCTCAGGGACCAGCCAGCAGCTCCTTGCACACCTCTGCACCTCTTGAGTGATGTTGTGACCCAAGACACACTGAGTTTTACCACGCTCGTCCGCAAACCAAGTCCAAAGGAACATAGAACAGGTGTGCCCAGGGGCTAGTGCTGCCACCTTGCCAGGCCAGTCCAGCAGGTTTGCATCCTGGTTAAGATGACGAAGGCGCACCCAGCCTGGTGCCAGGGAGGGCCTCCACTAGAAGTCAGAGGAGGGCAGCAGCTCCCCTTGTGCCCCCAGCACAGCCAGCCCTGGAGCAGACTGGCACATGGAGGCTAAGGGAGGGAGCTGCTGGCTCGTCAAACTCCTCAAATGGCTCAGGCTAATGTGCCTAACTCCTACCATTTCCTCCTTTCAGCCCTGTGCAAACAGAATTCTCTGGAGTAAGGAGAGAAAGTTCTGGAAGTGGGACTGCCATCAGGACTCCTATGCGGAGCAGGGCAAAGCAGAGAGATTGGGGCGAGCACTGGGAGGCAGCCTGGTGGGGATTCAGGAGCTGTCTGGGGCCTAGGAATGAACCGCTCCTGGGCGAGAGCGGAACAGTGGGGATGCAGGTTCCAAAGGGCCTTTGTTGCCTGTGAGGACAGCACCACCAGACTAGAGCAGGTCCTGTCAGACCAGCAAGTTCTCAGCAACGGAGGCTGTGGCGCCCAGGGCAACTCTGAAGGCCTGGGTGGAGCCAACCTTCCGCTGCCTCCTGAGCCTGGACAGTGCTGGGTCCCCAAATGGGCCTTGGACAGGACCCTGTGTTCTGGACACACCAGCCCTGCGCCCCTGCGCTGGGGAAGGCTGGGCTCGTGGGGCCCTTCATCTCAGGACACGAGCACTGAGGCCACACGTCTGGCGGCTTTCTGAAAGCACACTTCACTGTGAGCCCCGAGCACTGCAGCAGCCCAGCCCTAGCGTGGGACAGTCCTTCTGCCCCAGCGTGCGTCCCGGTCAGCCCCTCCTGCTGCAGATGCGGGAAGTTCTTGCCTTAGCAGGGGAAGCTCAGCCAACGCTAGCCTCTTACCAAGCCCCTCTTACCAAGCCCGCACGTCCCAGCAGCAGCCCTGGGGCTCTCCGCTCAGCACCTCGGGGCCAGACCCTCAGGTTGGGTAGAGGGAGGGTGACCCTAAAGGTTCCTTTCAAAGGCCAGAGGAGTGAGGCTGCAGCTGGAGGCCCCAGGGGTGGTTCGAGGGAAGCCAAGCCCTGGTGCACGTCTGCCTGAGCCTCAGGCCTCAGATCTGAAGCCCTACCCTGGCTGGTGCAGCCCAGAGTCACCCACGTGCCAGGACTCCTTCAGGTTTGGAGCCCAAAGACAGGTGTGCAGGCCAGGGCTGGGCTGGCTCCTCGGGCAGCTTCCCTCATCTGCTCCCAAGGAGGGAGGCCCTGCCAGGTGACAGGGAGGCTCATCTGGAGGGAGACCCTGGATCACCTGTCCCTGAGGGGCCCACAAAGCCACCAGGACAGGGAAAGGATGAAGAACCATCTGCTTTACTCTGTAGTCTCGGGGCTGGGCAGGGGCGTGTGGGAGCTGGGCAGGAGCATGGGGGGCACTGGGTGAGGGGCGGGTGGGCTGAGCAGGACACGCCGAGGTGAGGATGAGGCAGGGATGGTGTGGGAAGGGCCTGGCAGGTCAGCTGCAGTTCTTGGGCAGGCGGTAGACGCCGGCCGAGTAGATGAGTTGCTGGTCGCGCACCTTTTTCTGCAGGAAGCCCTGGAGCTCCTGCAGGTCAATCTCAGCCAGCGCTGGCCCAGTCACCACAAACATGCGGAGCATGCTGTAGATGCGCTCCAGCGAGAGGCTCTCCAGGTTGGTCAGCATGGCCTGGATGTACGTCCAGAAGAGCTAGGGGGACAGCGGCCAGGCCAGCCATCAGGCAGGCCACCATCCAGGCTACTACCACACGGAAACCCAAGCCAGCCATCCCCCTGCGCCACCCCACCCCCGGGCGCACCAGCAGCTCCTCCTCCTTCTGGTCAGCCTGGGAGGCCATGCCCGAGTCGCTCTCGTCATCGCTGTCAATGAGCACCATGTTGTCTCGGTCCTGGGGCCGCTCCTCTTCGACCACAGAGAAGGTGCCGGCAGGTTCCTCCCGCAGCACACCTTGCTGCAGCCACACTGACATCCGCCGCCGCAGCAGCGCCACGGGCATCTTCACCACCTTGCTCAGCTCCTCCAGCGTCCAGCTGGCTGTGTGCGG